CACTTTAAATAGCTTGGAAGCTGCAATCAATAAATAGATGCTTTCCTCTCTAGCTTCTCACATCTTGCTCCAATCACCTCAAACTAATCAGACTATGAGACTCTCCATAGGTGGGGAGGGGCAGAGGGAGACAGTCACTCCTCCCACACAATCAGTCAGCCTTAACTGCATGATGGGGAGGGACTAAGGATAGAAACAGGAGAAGCTAGGGAGGGGGAAGGTACTTCTCCATCTTGGACTGGCCAGCAGCCCTTTAGGAAGCTGCAGCTGAAATGTGGGAAAAAAGGCCCAAGGGTGCTCATACCTTTGTAAGTACCACCTCGCTGCCATCATAAGCTCTGTTAGCAAGCCCAGTAAATGCTTTTAGTCCCTGAAAAAAAATGATGCTAATTAAAACAAAGTTTAGGAAAATCAGTAAGGGAGAAAAAGACTAGAAAAACATTAGTTCATATATTTAACAAAGACATTACTCAGATTATGCAAATAACATCTGGATCTCAACAAAAATATGTATTTGAATTAAAAGAGGAAAAATTCTTGAACATGTATGTCAACTGAAATATGTAAGTAACTAATAAATATATTAAAAGTTTTCAACATTGTTACCAAGACAAGGCAAATAGTGCTGGGAGGGAATCTTCTCATGAACAAGAACAGTACTTGTATCCAATTAAAGATGTGTTATTAAAACTAACCCAGTATAACACTCATTAGCACAAAATGAAGTTCACTGTGACATTTTTCACATGCATGTCACTGTGCTTGCTCACATTTGTTCCATCACTTTCCTTATTCCAAGGAAAGTTCCCGTATGTCTCCATGTGTTGCATTTTTATTACTTCTAAAGTTAATTTTAAAAACTTTATGTTTTCTCCTTTGATCTGTAAGCTATTTGCACAAGTCTAATGTTTAATATGTTTTGGGTACCATGCCATTGATGAGTTTTAATTATTTAATTAAATTTAATTATTTAATTCACAGATGAGCCCTCTATGAATTCTATCACTTGAAATTCCTGAGTCTTTTTTGATGGGCAACTTGCAGAGTAATCAGTGACTCACACACACACTAGAAAAAGGAGGGTACTTTCAGCATTTGCTGAATAAAAATGTTAATTAAAAAAAGAACTTGGAAGCCATGCCTGGTGGCTTACACCTATAATCTGAGCACTTGGGAGATTCAGGCAGAAGGATAACAGTGAGTTTGAGACCAGCCTGAGCTATAGAATAAGACTCTGTTCAAAAAAAGAAGGTGGGGAGGAACTCAAAAATGTTCCTGAGATTGAGAAATTTATTTATAGAATAGGTACATAAAAATGAGACTAAGTCCATAGGAAATACACAAAAATTCAATAAAAAATTTGAAAAATGAGACTAAGTCCTATTATAAAGTCTCTTATTATGATAAAGATATTCCTTGTATGTCTAAAAATTGTTTTTAGGGGGCTAGAAAGATGGCTCAGTGGTTGAGAGTACTGCTCTTCCAGAGGACCCGGGTTCAATTCACAGCATCCACATGGTACCTAACAACTATCTGTAACTCTAAGAGCACTGCATGAAAAAAAATTTTTTTTTTTGTCTTTTTGAGACAGGGTCTCTCTGTAGCCCCAGCTGTCCTAGAAGTCACTACGTAGACCAGGCTGGCCTCCAACTCACAAAGATCTGCCTACCTCTGCCTCCCAAGTGCTGGGATTAAAGGCGTGCGCCACCACGCCCAACTTAAAATTTTTTTAAAATCTTTTTTTTTCAATATTTTATTATTTTTTTATTTTTTATGTGTACAAGTGTATTGCCTGCATGTATGTGAGTGCACCCATGTACAATGCCACGGAGGTCAGAAGAGGGCTTCGGATTCCCCTGGAACTGGAGTTAAGGACGGTTCATAGCCGCAGTGTGGGTGCTGGGAATCGAACCCGGGCCCTCTGAAAGAGCAGTCAGTGCTCTTAACTGCTGAGCCACCTCTCCAGCCCATGAGTGTAATTATTTTGTCTTATGTCTGTTTCTTCACTACTGAGTCTTCCAAAGCTTAGCCCTATCCAAAGCATAAAGTAGCTAGATGCTGAATAGTGCATACTTGGAGTGAATAAATAAAGGCAGGGCTGAAAATTGAGCAATGGTAGAGCACTTATATTTAGAGAGTATGTGTGTGTGTGTGTGTGTGTGTGTGTGTGTGTGTGTGTGTGTGTATGTCTATGCATACAGCACATGTGTGGAGGTCAGAGGACAACTTGCAGGAGTTGATTCTCTCCTTCCACCATATGGTCCCAGGGGTCAAACTCATGTCATCAGGTCAAGTACCTTTTCCTGCTCAGCCATTTTGCTGGTTCAGTAGAGCACTATTTCACCATGTGTAGAGGCCCTGTGTTTGATCCTAACACAATAAAAATGAATTGAGCAAGAGAGGGAGGTAAGAGAGGGACAGTGGGAGGAAGGAAGGAATTAGAGCAGTCCTTTGGAACTTGTTTGTAGGTTTCTCATCTTATAAGTGACATGCATCTAAAACTTTGTATCATGATTCAGTGTCGAAAGGTCCTATATGAGTATGTGGAGACAGACTCAAACAGGGATTGGGAGGGCTGGGCGTGGTGGTGCTTTAATCCCAGTGCTGGGGAGGCAGAGGCAGGCGGATCTCTGTGAGTTCTAGGCTAGCCTGGTCTACATAGCGAGTTCCAGGCCAGCTGGGGCTACAGGGAGACCCTCCCTGTCTCAAAAATACAAAACCAAAAAACAAAACAAAAAAACAATAGGGAAGGTGAAGGAGAATAGATGATCTGGAAGGACTTGAGTTAGTTATATTGGTTAATATTTACAGAACATGACTTTGAGAACTAGCCACTCTTTCTGACATAGTATATTCTTGATCCTTATCTCCCTGTGCTCCCTTTGTTTAAAAACATTTTTGTGTCTTTAGGACTCAAAACAGTTGCTGGCTCAAAACATATACTAGGTGTTGAATCCATTTACATTAATGATCTATAAGTGAAATGAGCTGAAGAATGACACTGAAATCTAAGTATACTATACATTGTAAGTTGTGTGGTATTTCAGAGTCCATATAAATCAATGATCTTCAAAGCATACTTGCTTTTTTATTGTTTGATCTTTTGGTCCTTTACAGAAGGCAAGCTCCTGTTGCAGCTGTGTTTGCAGGAAGCCCACAGTTAATGGGTGCGATTAAATTGTGTACTGGATGGATGGTGACAAGCTTGCCTCTTTATAGTGACGATGATCTCCTCAAGAGAAATGAAAATGTAAGACATTTTAAATTCTTCATTTGGCTCTCTTTTTTACAATACTCCATAGTTTTGTATAGTTCTGTACTGTGTTCCTAATTAGCTAGGAAAATCCAAATAATTTTAGAAGACCTAATATACTTTCATTTTTAAAAGTTGGGAAGTTGAGGCAAGAAGATTACTACAAGTTTGAGGCCAGCCTGGGCTACGTAGTGAGTTCCAGGTTAGCAGAGGTACATAGCAGGACTTTGTCCCAATAAAGAAAAGGAAAACAAAGGAAAAGAAAGTTCTATAATATATTTAACCAAGACAAATTCTAACTTCTTTGTTTTGTAAATAATTGTGGCAGAGAGATGCCACACTATGGCAATGCCTGCACAAAGACAGCTTGACCCTTTGGTGTCAGTTAGAACCAGGAGTGAGTCTGATTTTTTCTGTGAACAAATCTGAGTTCCCTCAGAACTGTCCCCTGAACAAAGGACTTGCTCTCTATTCATTGAAACAGTACATCCAGCATGGCACTGGAAAGAAATGTGTATCCTGTCTTTTTTTAAAGGACATTGGATTTACGGACAGTTGTTAGTTGCCATACGGTGCTAGGAACCAAACCTGGGTCTTCTGCAAGAGCAACCTGTGCTCTTAATTGCTGAGCCCCTTCTCCAGCTCAGAGGAACCTGTCTTATCAGAGGATTTTCCCCTTTCTGACCCCTACTGACCCAGAACAGCACATGTAACCACAACAGATGTCATCAATCTAGTCCCATATGCTATTTGTAACATGACAGGGGATAATTGATTGCTTTCAAGGATATTCCCTGCTTTTAGCACTGATATTTTCACAACACACACACACATTATTCTGAGCCAAGAGCCAGGAAGGATCCTGAATGATTAAAGCTCTATGTTTAGCTTACAAGAGCAGCCCATGGCCTAGTAAGATTGTTGACATTGTAATCAAGCTGAGATAGTGTTAAAAGATCAGGTGTGGGGCACACGCCTTTAATCCCAGCACTTGGGAGACAGAGGCCAGCCTGGTCTATGTAGTGAGTTCCAGGACAGCTGGGGCTACAGGGAGACCCTGATTCAAAAAAAAAAAAAAAAAAAAAAAAAAAATCTCAAAACAACATAAGTTTAAGTCTGATTCCAAGGTTAGGTAAGATTCCACTTGTAATAGAAAGCCTTCCCAGAAAAGTCATTCCTACAAAGAATACTGCTGAGTTTCTATGAGAGACATTTATTTCTACAGTTTTCAAAGGAACTCATGGATATTTCAGAAACATTCTTTCAAGGTATCACTGTTCTAATGTTGAAGGAAGTCTGTCAATGTATGTCTCTATACACTTTGTTTTTCGAAGCTAAACTTCTATCAATTATTTTAAAAAAACTGTGGGGCCAGGTGTGGTGGCACTTCCCTTTAACCCCAGAATTTGGGAGGCAGAGGCAGGCCATCAAGGCCAGCCTGGTCTACATCAGGCCAGCTGGGACTACAGGGAGACCCAAACAAACCAAAATAAATAAATAAAAAACTGTGGGGCTTGGAGATGGCTCAGTGTATAAAGTTTATAAAGTGTTTGCTGTGTAAGCATGAGGACCTGAGTTCAGATCCCCAGTATCCATATAAGAGCTGGGTGTGGAAGTGCACACCTGTAATTCTAGTGCTGGAGAGGCAGATATGGGAGGACCCTGAGTCTTGCTGGCTGACTAGTCTAGCCAAATCAGTGAGCTCCAGGTTCAGTGAGATATTCTCTCTCAAAAATCAGATGGACATGTTTACTTCAATAGCACGTATACTAAAATTAAAGACTATACAGATAATTCGCATGGCCCCTTCGCAGGGATAATGTGCAAACTTATGAAGCATTCTGTATTTTAATATTTTTATTATTTAAAAAAATTTTTATGCGTATGAGTGTATTTCCTGCATGTATGTAAGTACACCTGTGTTGTGCAGTACATGCAGAGGTCAGAAAAGGGTATCTGATCCCCTGGAACTAGAGTTAGGATAGTTGTTAGTTACTATTTGGGTGCTGGGAACCAAATCCAGATCCTCTGTAAGAGCAGCCCCACCCCACCCCCAGTGCTCGTAACTGCTGAGCCATTTCTCCAGCCCCATTTATTTTTTTTAATATTTTATTTATTATTTTTATTTTATGTGTACAAGTGTATTGTCTGCATGTGTGTGAGTGCACATACATGTATGTGAAAGTTCATCCTTGGCCTCCACATGCACAGTCACACATGCACATGTGTATACACACACACATATACACACAACATTTCCGTTTAGCTAGGCGTGCTAGCATTCCTATAATTCTAGCTCTTTTGGAGATAGAGGGAGGAAGATTGAAATTTCAGGACCAGACTAGGCAATTAAGCAAGACCCTGTTTAAAAAGCCTGGAGGGCTGGAGAGATGGTTCAATAATAAGGCAGATAATCTAATTTTTAAAAATATTTCATTTATTTTTTATTTTATGTGTATGAGTGTACTTCCTGCATGTATGTGAGTGCACCTGTGTCATGCAGTGCTGCAGAGGTCAAGACAGAGCTTCAGATTCCCCTGGAACTGGAGTTAAGGACGGTTTGTAGCCACCATGTGGGTGCTGGGAATTGAACCTGGGTCTTCTGCAAGAGCAGTCAGTGCTCTTAACTGCTAAGCCATCTCTCCAGCCCCAGATAATCTAATTTGTAAAATTAAATTAAATTTATTTTTGGTTTTTGGGAGACAGGGTCTCTCTGTAGCACCAGCTAGTCTAGAATTTGTTTTGTAGTCCAGGCTGGCTTTGAACTCACAGAGATCTGCTTCCCTCTGCCTCCTCAGTTGCTGGGATTAAAGGCATGCCCCACCATGTTCATCAAAATTATTTCTTTACTTTTATTTTATGTGTCTGAGTATTTTGCTGTATGTAAGTAAGTGTACCCATGTCATGCAGTGCTTTTGGAGGACATAAGAGGGTGTCAGACTTGGAGTTACAGATAGTTGTTAGCCTCCATGTGGTTGCTGGGAACTGAACCTAGGTCTTCTGCAAGAGCAGCTAGTGCTCTTAACCACTGAGGCTTCTCTCCAGCCTATAATCCAATTTTCGAAAATGGGCAAAGGATTTGAATGGACATTTTTCCAAAGGGGAACTAGAAATGACCAATTTGCATATGAAGATACGACATTTCATTAGCCATCAGGAAAATGCAAATCAAATCCACAATTAGATACCTCTTCAGACCAAGTAAGATAGCTAAAATCAAAAGGACAAATAATAACAAGTATTGACAGGGATGTGGAGAACTTGAACTAAACCAAACCCTGTACACAATTTGTGGGAATACAAAATGGTATAGCTGCTTTGTAAGCTAGCCTGGCAATTCTTCACAAATAATCACTGGGTTCCTTTATGACCCAGCAATTCTGCTAGATAAAATACCCATGAGAAATGAAAATATATGTTTTGCACAAAAACTTGTACATGAATATTCATGTATACCATTTATTTATAATGACCTCAAAAGGCAAGCAACTCGAATGTTTATTATGTGATGAAAGGATAAACAAAATGACTTATCCTTACAATATAATATTATCTTGCTCTAAAGAGGAATGAAGTACTTATACATGCTACAATATAGATGAATCTGACAAGCATTATATTAAGTGAAAGAAGCAGTCACAAAGGAACACATGTTCTAGATTTCATGCATTTGAAATGTCTATAATCAGCACATTTGTAGAGATAAAGTAGACTTGGTTGCCCAGGACTGAGGGAGATGGGTTAGAAGATGAAAACTGAGATATACAGGGTTTCATTACAGGGAAATGCAAGTGATCTAAAATTGTGTTGGTGGAAATACTAAAACCACAAGTATGTGAATTATATAGTATTTAAATTGTATTTAACTTTTAAATTATTTTAATTTTTACATTTTTAATTATGTGTGTGCTCATTTTATTATGTGTTTGTGTGTGTGTGTGTGTGTGTGTGTGTGTGTGTATACACAGAGTCCAAAAGAGTTCAGATCCCCCTAGAGCTGGAGTTTCAGGCAGTTGTGAACTACCTGATGTGGGTTCTTGTCTTCAGGAGCTGTACCTGGCTTTAACTGCTGAGCCATCTCTCCAGCCCTGTGAATTATATTTTTAAAAAATATTTTTTATTTTATGTATGTATGTGAGTGTTTTACCTGCATGTATGTAAGTGTACTCTGTGTGTGTGTGTGTGTGTGTGTGTGTGTGTGTGTGTGTGTGTGTTTTGTGTCCTGTGTCCTTGGAGGCCAGAAGAGGGCGTGTCAGATTTTCTAGAACTGGAGTTACAAATAGTTGTTTGCTGCCATGTGGGTCCTGAGAACCAAACTTGTATCCCTAACAAGAGCAGTAAGTGCTCTTAATTGCTGAACAATCTCTCCAGACCATGTACTGTATTTTAATAAAGCTGTGTGATTTTAATTAACTGGAGCTTTCAATGTCTTATAAATTTTATTTTAATTATATCCTTTCAGATTTATCAAATCTATTCAAAGCGATCTGCTGAGGACATTTATAAAATACTAACATCCTACAAAGCTAACTACCTTATTGTAGAAGATGCTATCTGCAATGAAGTGGGAACCATGAGAGGCTGTAGGGTTAAAGATTTATTAGATGTTGCAAATGGCCATGTAAGTAACCATTTGAAAAGCTCATTTTTTTTTTATAAGAAAAGTCACCTTATTTAGCCTTACAGTCTTCAAACTTCCATTGTGTAACTTCACTA